ATTAATTTAATTATTAATAAACTTAAAAAAGAGTCTTCACTGAGAGTCCTCTTCTCATCACTATCCATCATAATTATTATGAGGCCATGACAGTGATATTTTTCACATTTATTTGTTTTCAAGTTGCTTCTGATTCAACCAGATGTGCTAAGTGAAAACATTAGCATAAGTTGACAAAAAATATGCTGCATTAACTTAGAAACATCTTTTCATATTAGTTTATGATGTGACAAAGATCCCAGGATGGAATAGAAAGTGAAAGCTGTCTAAGAAGTTTGTGAAAAGTCCCTATTCCTTGGAAATAACTGAAAATTCAAGCATGATTCATCCCAGATCTACAATCAATTGTTGACCATCTATTACTTGCCACTCTGCTGGATGCCAAGGACACCAACATAAATAAACTCAATTTTTGTTACGCACAACCTAAATTCATATTAAATCTACTATTATGAAGAAAACTAAAGCATATATTGCTAGAATAGTAACATCATTTCTATCTATGTAAGTATTAGTTACCAAGGGAAATAACCTAGTAAATTAAGTGGGGGGCCCTCATAAAAGGGAATATATGCCACTTGATTTGGCATGATGTGATATTACATTATATGGTTCTAAATTCTCCAAGTAACTGAGAATTTAAAAATAATAATAAACTCCTAGAGTATAAACAATATAATCAGTTTTCTTAAACTGAACTCTTTGACTTTGCACTTTGCGATACTCCTAAGAAATGGACAAGAGAATGTATCTAACAAGTGAATATATAATGACACTGTTTAATTGATAAGATTAATGAGAAATAATTAGTTGCTTCATGCTCTTTGCCATTTATTCTGGGACATATCAGCAGAGCATGTGTGAATCAAAGGCTACTTATCCAGGGATTTCTTTCTTCTGTGCTATATACATGTAATCTGATCTCCACCTGATGTGCTTGATGGGGAAGAGGCCGAAGTAATGGTATCATAAGTCCAATAAGCCTAACTAGGATGGCTCTATTATTAAATCTTCAGCCTGCCTGTGAAGCAGAGGCTGCAATCAACAGCAAGTAATAATGGATTCACTTGAGCAGGCATTTCAGTAGAGAAAACCTTTCTCTGTCCTCAACGCCTGAGCCAGTTCTGAACATAACTCAGGAATTGGAACATAGAATAAGTAAGGCCTACAAATCTAAATTAATTCCCAAAATTTTGTGATATCCAGACCAAAATACTTCCACAAATTTCCAATTTTGAGGATTACTTTTAGGTCTTTTTAAAAAATTAGTCAAAATAATAACAAATAATAACAGAACAATAACAAAGCAAAACATATAAGGTTGGTTAACTTATGTTAATCAGAACAGTGATTCTGAACTTTAGTCCATTTAGAATCACCTTGGATACTTGTTAAATATAAAGTCCTAGACTTCTTCCCTGGTGATTCTGACTGAATACACCTAGGGCAGAGTTTGGCAATCTACAGTTTAGCAGGTGTTCCTGCTGACTCTAATCTGGGTAATACGATCTGGCATCCACGGGTTCAAAACAATGGTTTTAAGAGCCCAAAAAGAACTTTAGTTGGGTAACTTCTGTATGCCCGAGGCCAGTCCAGAGACAACGAATAGTTACTCATTATCAGCTCCAGGGGTCAGATACAAAGACAACTAACAGAGTGAAATGAGACAAGTACTTTGTAAGCAGTATTTTTAAAGTTCTTAGGAAATGGAAGAAGTAGTTATTTCTGCCAGGAATCGGGTAGGAAAGTTGAGCGTTATTTTCTGAGAAAAAAAATTCTAAAGAGGTAGCATATACGCTCTCATTCAGTTACCAATATTTATATCTTATTCTTTTTTTTTTTGACATCACTCTGTTTACACAGACTTTTCATATGCTTATGGAAGTCAGTGTTGCTTTTGAGTTTTGATCTATGTGTAGGTGTCTATTTTATTGTTAGTATCTGCATGTTTATTTTAAAGAACACTCAAAGTCCTAAAATTGACTGTTGTACCAGCTTATTTACAACCCCACTTTAGCCAGCTTTATTGTGGATTCTGTCTTACACCAGCATTGTACTCCGAGATATAAAAAGACTGCCCTATGCTATGTGTCTGTTTTTGGCTTAAAACATTCCATTTGTTTTCTGATTTGGGTACCAAGATATTGTAGATCCACGATGGATATTCTCACATTGTAGCGTTCTACCATTAAATATCATACTTCAAAGTGGCCATATATGATAAAGCAAACTATCTACAACGGCTTCAACAGTTTGCTGAGGAAATCAGATTTGAGATAGTTTACATCAGCAAGCCAGCAACTTTTGAAACTTGAAAAAAAAAATGTAAGGGATACAGAATGAATGTGCAGCCAAATATTTCCCTCTACAGTATGAGCATGAACCCTTTTTCCATTTTATAATACCTTTATGTTGAATTCTTGAGACATATCAAAAATTTTTTTTTAAAAAAAATAAAAATACCCTAGACCCAGAATCAACCATATTTTCTCAAATGCCAAAAGAACTTATGGCTGCAGGGTACTACATTCTAATATTAAAATTACAGTACACTTAAACTGTAATTTTAATTATGATTTTACTAATATATATGATTAGTACTTTAACGCACATGCAAACAGATATAGATGATGTGTTTAAATATTCTATATTACTTCATTAATCCTTTTCAAGTAAATATTGTCTTACTTCAAATTTTTTACAAAATGAATTATTCTATTAAATAATTAAACCTTACCCAGTGGGAAAGGTTTCTGTCCCAGAAATGTCAAAGCAGTTAATTAGTTTCTCTGATCTGTAGTCTATATTTAGTAAGGAATATGCCCTCCATGAAATTAAACGAATTGCACACAGCAGCCAGGGCCACAAGAAAAGGCAGGCTCAGGCCCATAAATCAACTCCAGAGTGACTTCTGGGACTGTCCCAGGTCAGAGGAGACTTCATCCTTCCCTGACCTCAGCTCACTTGCCTAAGACTGAGGTGACACTAAGCCATATCAGGAGAAAAAGAAAAGGAGGAAATACAGCCGGCAGGATGATTCTTTTTAATATACCAATTACCAAAGAAATGAAAATTCAGCAGGGCCAGGCTTGGTGGCCCACACCTGTAATCCCAGCATTCTGGGAAGCCATGACAGACAGACTGCTTGAGCTCAGGAGTTCCCGACCAGCCTGGGCAACATGGCAAAACTCTGTTCCTACAAAACATGCAAAAATTAGTCAGGCATGGTGGTGCATGCCTGTAGTCTTAGCTGCTCAGGAGGCTGAGGTGGGAGGATTGCATGAGCCTGGCAGTGAGCTGTGTTTGAGCCACTGCACTCTAGCCTGGGTGACAGTGAGACCCTGTCTCAAAAATTAAAAAAAAAAAAGCTTAAGAAAGACCTTCAACTGTTTAATGACTGTATTTTCATCTACAAGCATACATTTTTCTATGAATACAATATCAACCTGAAACTGGAATTCTGAAGATTAAATCAGATTAATTTAATGTCAGCCCATGTATCTTTCACATTAAGAGAAACTTCAAATATTGAACATCTCCCTGTAACCTAATTAGAAGCTAAAAATACAGTTTTTGGTTTTATAAATTGGCTAACGTTAATTTTTCTTAAACTGTTATTAAATAACAATATTTCCTTACATAAGTATTCTTCTGTATTAATTTCTAACAACATATTAATACTAATTCTAATAACCTTTTAGTAAATTATTGTGGTTATAGAAAAAAGGAGAATACCAGAGAGCCTTGAGTCACTTTGGCCAGTAAAGAGCCGAAATAAATTTCAAAATGTGTTATATTTTACTATGGTCATCATAATATAAAAGGAAAGATACGGGAGAAAAATGTGACAGAATTCTGTTTTAGCCTGTTCCCCAAGTGTTTTGAATGTACCAAAAGATCTTCCCTTTTATAGGTAGATTCATAATGGATCTCTGCTGGCAGCTCCATTATGATGTCACTTATAGGTGTATCTGTTGCCAGATTAGCAATTCCAAAAGTGATGTTCACTCATGTGTGGAGGTACCAGAGAGCCATGGCTCAAAAGCTAAAACAATCACTGCTCCACAGGTGTGATATATGAAGGGAAGATCAGAGGGGATCCAGTGTCTGATGATGCATATTTGAGGGTCAGTAGGAAAAAAATCTCCTAATCAATGATATTAACTCTTAACAAAAGGGAACTTCACTGGTTGAATTACAATAGCAGGTCAGAGGATAAAAATAGCAATGTGAGGTTTTTTAACCTGTGTTTGTAAGTTACATAAGTAGCAACAATACCTGAAGTTAGACCTCAATTAATTCATTCCTGCTAGGGTTAACAAAAAGAATTTTCTGAATCAACCCTAATAAACGACCATTTCCAAAGCACCAACTATGTGCAAGATGCTATGCTAGTTGTAGTGAAAAATGTAAAGTAACAATAATCAGAGCACAAAACCTGGTCTCAGCCTTCGGGGGATTTTTTAAAACTTATGAGACAGGATTGATTATGTGTGAAATGAAAGAGCTAACTAGATGGGGAGACTCTCATGCCCTAATTGGAAGCATGTTGTTGGACCTAGTTGTAGGCTGGTATGATTTGGGAAACTTTTCATTCACTCTTTATGCAAAGAAAGACTAGTTTTCTTCGTGTTTCGCCAACAAATAAAGAGCATATTTTCATCCTCATTGCCTTACAGTTTTAAAAGTAGAACGGTAGCTTATATGTGAAACAGAAGACTAGATCAAAATAAATTTCAGTGTCAAAAGTAGAAAGGCCTTTAAACGAGGTGAAAAAATCAAGTTATTTCATTTCTTAATTACTGGCCTTAAAGAAATAAATTGAATATCTTGAGAAAAGGAACTCAAAAAGCACCTCAGTTTCACGGGCAAATGCAAACAAAAAAACCACAACCACAACCAACCAACACCAATCAGAGTGGTGCTCCTTGTGGGCCCTTTCTGAGCATTGGTAGAAACTGCATTTTTTAATCTCCGCTTTCATGTTTGTCCAAGATCTTTAAAGGGAGGAGAAAAGAGAGAGAGAGGCAGGCGCCGTATAAAAGAAGCACCCTCGAGGTTTCTAAAATTTATACCAAAACTTCATAGGTGAGGACGCTCAGCAGATCTGACATTTGCCCTTTGGTGATGGACCCAGAAGAGACTTCAGGTTACCTGGATTATTACTATGCCACCAGCGCCAACCCTGACATGAAGGAGCCCCGCCCCCATGTTCCTCACGCGTCCGCCTTCCTTCCAGTCTTCTACTCCGCAGTGTTCCTGGCCGGAGTGCTGGGGAACCTTGCGCTCATGGCAGCGCTGCACTTCAAACCCGGCAGCAGGCGGCTGATCGACGTCTTCATCATCAACATGGCCGCGTCCGACTTCATCTTCCTTGCCACGCTGCCTCTCTGGGTGGACAAAGAAGCATCCCGAGGGCTGTGGAGGACGGGCTCCTTCCTGTGCAAAGGCAGCTCCTACGTGATCTCCGTGAACATGCACTGCAGCGTCTTCCTGCTGGCGTGCATGAGCGCGGACCGCTGCCTGGCCATCGTGTGGCCGGCGCTGTCCAGGAGGCTCCGGCGGAGGGACTGCGCCCGTGCGGCCTGCGCCGGCGCCTGGCTGCTCTCCGGCCTGCTGGGCTTGCCCACCCTTCTGTCCAGGGAGCTCACGCTGCTCGGCGGTAAGCCATACTGTGCGGAGAAAAAGGCAACGCCAGGGAAACTCGCGTGGTCCCTGGTGGCCTTGATCTTCACCTTTTTCGTCCCGTTGTTGAGCATTGTGACCTGCTACTGTTGCATTGCGAGGAAGCTGTGCGCCCATTACCAGCAGTCAGGAAAGCATAACAAAAAGCTGAAGAAGTCCATCAAGATCATCTGCATCGTCGTGGCGGCCTTTCTCGTCTCCTGGCTGCCCTTCAATACCTTCAAGCTCCTCGCCGTTGTCTCTGGGCTGCAGCGAGAACGCTATTCTCCCCCAGCCATTCTGCAGTTTGGCATGGAGGTCACTGGGCCCTTGGCGTTTGCCAACAGCTGTGTCAACCCCTTCATTTACTATGTCTTCGACAGCTATATCCGCCGGGCGATCGTGCACTGCCTGTGCCCTTGCCTGAAAAACCACGACTTTGGGAGTAGCACTGAGACATCAGATAGTCATCTCTCTAGGGCTCTCTCCACCTTCATTCATGCAGAAGATTTTACCAGGAGGAGGAAGAGATCTGTGTCACTCTAAAGGGAACTGTGACATTTCCAGCTCCGTCATGGGTTAAGCAGTTAATTTTTGTCAGCCACAAAGAAAGAACTGTTAATGATAGGATTCACATTGCTTCGTAGATGCAAGGAAGACTTAATTTTTAAAGCAAGGTCTGAAAAGTCTCCATGTTGTGGTTATAATTAGGCATGTGCTGTTTTCTCAGCTGAGCAGCCTTCTTCAACCCTTGCCAATCAAGTCCACCAGACAAAATCCAACTCCCATCTGTCCTTAAACTCTTGGATAAAGGCTCCAGCTTGAACCAGTCCCTTTCTTCATGATTGTTAATGGGCATTTGGGCCTTTCCTCTCTGAAGAAACTTGGTACCTTCAATCCCACCATCCTTCAGACTGAGCTCCAGATTGGACTACATTTAAATGATTCTGCCTACTTTCATCTGATGAGAAATGCAGTAACAATGCAGGTAACAACAATATAATATACCTGCACTCTGTAATTAATTGTTTCTGAGTTACTAACCTAGATTCTGACCTCAATCTTTAAAGCTGTATATAGTGATTCTTCATCATCTTCCAACATTGTGCTTCATCCTATGCTTATTCACAATGACTTTGGACCGGCAGAAAAAAAAACTCATGGGGATTTTGTATAGTGTATGTGATGTCGGACTTCCTTTTTCATGCAGTCTTCTAGTATCTTAACACGTAAGCATATGGCAAGATTTGACCTCTGTTTGCTTTATAAGATATTGATAGAAATGTGTCCCGTTCATAATGGTGTAGTAACTATTTTTTAATGGGGTTTTACTATGCTCTTTTGTTTTCATTGCCTTTATACATTAGGATTTGACTTTGCTTTAATTACATGTTTTTAATTACCCAGTTATCTAGTTATCACATGAAAATGTTGTTACTAATATAATTGGAACTCATCAAATGCTTAGCTCTACCCCCGTGCAGATGATCATTTTGTATTTTAATTAAAATGTTGGTGCTACACATTCCCTATACCATCATTTGCTTGGTGCATATAATTTCAAGATAAGATCCAGACTGCTCTGTATTCAGCGGAAGTAGAAAATCTCTAACAAAGATGTCATTAGTATTTTATATACGTTTTTTCCATACCCAGAAACCTTCTTGAATTCCTTTACCCAATAAATATTGAGTCAATTTGTACCTATATTCTTTCTGAAGACTTTGATGTGAAAAACATGTAATTAATGGCAACCACAAAGACTCGGCAGCAGCAAGTGTGCTATTGTAAACATCTTTGATTCAAGAGAAAGAGGGTTATGTGTTTACCTCCACTGTTGACTTGAATGAATTAACATCTTACTTCTAAATATTGTTTGAAAATCAAAAAAAGCTTAGAATTCTTTCAAAGACTAGCCAATTTAATTTCATCCCATGTATCTTTCACATTAAGAGAAACTTCAAATATTGAACATCTCCCTGTAACCTAATTAGAAGCTGAAAATACAGATTTTGGTTTTATAAATTGGCTAACTTGTTAATTTTTCTTAAACTGTTATTAAATAAAAATATAATTTCCTTACATATGTATTCTTCTGTATTAATTTCTAACAGCATATTAATATTAATACTAATTCTAGTAAGCTTTTAGTAAATTATTATGGTTGTAGAAAAAAAAAGACCAGGTAAATAATAACAAACACATCTTCTTGGAAAACTTCAAAACTAAATTCAGTGCAATTGAATAGAGCTCCCAAAGGTAAACAGAAACAAAATATATAAGGTAGAAGACACACATTTCTTTAAAACAAATCAGCAAAAAAACATTGTTACTAATTATGAAAGGTACTGCCTTTGAAAAATACTACCTTTAAAAATAGCTGAATCAATCAGCTAAGTTATTTGTTTGGAAAGAAGAAAATCTGTGCTATTAATTTTAGCTTCATCCTTAATGTTGTGATATTGGTAAGGTCATTTTAATCTTTCATACCTAAATGTAGTTGGTAATATCTATGTCTTGGGAATTATCAAGGATACTGTAAAAATAATAAAGTGTTTTTAAATGTTGAGTAAAAAGTTACTATAAAAGTAATTAGATTTCTATTAATTATTGAATACTCCTTACAAATTTTCAAACTAACATCAAATAATACTTAATCATTCTTATTTTTAAAATATTGAGATTTTATTTCTACTTCATCACTTTAATTTTTGCTGAGAATATTTAAAATAACACCAAATAGAAACATGTATTATTGGTTTTATTAATACTTTAAATAGATACAGTAACTATAGGCTTTAATAAAATGTTAGCATATTTTCTATTTATAATGTACCAGTTGTGAAAGGAAAAAAGAGACATAATTTTATAGGCAGTATAACTCTAAAGAAAAAAGTTCACAGCTTGATTAAGTTCATATGTTATTTTGTCATCTACGGATTCTGCTGGTATGAAATGTAATTTATATTATAATAGCATTAAAAGGTTTATTACAAATTATTTAGTTGTCTGGCATTTTGCATATTTTTAAAACCATATTTCTTCATTTTTAATTTGAACAATTTCTATACATATATAGATACTCTACATATACATACAGATATACATAGAAACACAGACTCCTATTTATAACTTTTCATGATTTTTATTATCTGAATTAAACTAGACTAAATGCTAATTTGCGATAATTTAATGTCATTAAAGAACATATGAATACATTGCCGAGAATTTCCAGAAAATTACTCTTTCATCCTAACACAATCATGCCTTGCAGGTTATATTTGAAGTTAGGAAAACAAAATAAAATTTTAACGATTCAGAATAAATAACTAAGGAAATCACTAGGAATTAACATTATTTGTTGTCATTTGCATAAGTAGTCCAAAACTACTGCCAGGCTGCAAATGACAAATATGAAAGGATAGTGATCTCTCAAGCATTTCTCAAATAACTTTTTTAAACTTACCCCAGAAAAGTTCTCCATTAAATCCCAAGTAATGTGTTGTCGCATAACTTATAATTAATTTTAAAAGAGATGTACTCAAGGCATGCAGAGTTGCAAACATAGTTGCAAACATATTTACTCCATTTGGGCTCTATTGAAATGTTGAAACTAACCCGATATTCCTCGGAGTCCCTTAACCTGTCCACTCTGAGCAAGTCAAAATCACTTCTGTGGTGAAAAGTTAGAGCAACGGTCTTAAAGGGAAGCTATGTGCGTGACTGAGAATAGACTATTACTAGGGGTCACAAGTTAATTTTTAAATAGATGCAGAAATGCACAGTATGATGGTAAGGTGAGTGGAAAAAAGATCTTCCTCTGTGATTCATCTTGACTCCTCAAATCACTCTCTATTCGACCTAGCAATATCAGAAGTAAGAAATGACTTGTCAAATGTGCGTGCCACAAAGAACCTCAGTTTTCCTGCAGAGCTCATTCATAAAAGCCAAGCAAAACTAAAAGAATTACAAATTTGCCTCGAAAATCAGACCACTGGTTTAACCTGCTAGCAAGATAATGGCTCCAGCCCCCTTAGAGAAAGAGGTGCCATCGGAGAAAAAGCAAGAGGGTAATTTTAACTACCAAAATATTTGCAAACAGTTCCTGACTACTGCGAGTTCCTTTTGTCTTTCACGAAGTTTGATGTGGATTGGATTTTCCCCTGCAAATGCCTGTCATTATGTAAAGTTTGTTTTGTTTTTTTTTTTTGAGCCAACATTCTTTGTTGTTATCAGCTTGATTTTATATCGCAGATGTAAAAATCCATCCTAGAGTGAGTTACACTCATTGGTTATTGCTATCTTTGTCATTTCCTTAATAGAGCTATATTTCCTAAACATACGTGATAAGTGGAAATTGCATGCTAAGATAAACCCACAGCATTAAAAACAAAATGGCTCACATCTGTAATCCCAGCACTTTGGGGGGCCGAGGCTGGTGGATCATGAGGTCAAGAGATGGAGACCATCCTGGCCAACATGGTGAAACCCTGTCTTTACTAAAATACAAAAAAGAAAATTAGCTGGGTGTGGTGGTGTGCACCTGTAGTCCCAACTACTTGGGAGGCTGAGGCAGGAGAATTGCTTGAACCCGGGAGGCGGAGGTTGCAATGCGTTGATATCGTGCCACTGCACTCCAGCCTGGCGCCTGGCAACAGAGGAAGACTCTGTCTCAAAAAAAGAACACAAAAAAATCCAAAACAAACAAAAACTCTACTTAATATCCAAAGTATAAAACTATTCATAAAGGTTCTTATGGCAAGGTAAATGGTAGTGAAATGTAAATTCACATAACATGTTCATTGAATCTAAAAGTAGAGGGAAAGTATTCTGCTAGTTGTGCAGACATTATTAAACTAAAAATTTTCTGGTTGATGTTTCTGAGCACCAAATTTCTAAGATTCAAAGGAACTTTCAAATCACAGTGAAACCTTCTGAGTTGCCTGCATGTGCTTAAGGACCGATGATAAAATGTTCACATTATTATGATAATTATCTGCCAACTTAGTAAAGGATGTTCATCATTTACCGATTTTTCTTACCTGCTAAGTAAAGAAGATATATAATAATTAACTCGTTTTCTAACACTCAGCGTCATCTATGTGTACCTCTTGTTGGTCGACACTGACAGGAAATTGAACATTTTTACTTGCTAGGTTCTATTAATTCTGATTTAAACTCTTTTATTTCTGTGTTTCCATTAGTTCAAAATAAAACAAAAAAGTGTTCCTGGCTAGTGTATTTGTGATCTGTATATTATAAATGCACTTTTCAATTTGCTCTAAATTATATACAAAACAGAAGATATAAAATATTATTGTGATGTTTATAGAGCAAATAAAATTTTATGCATCAAAAATAACATATGACTAGAGACTTTATTTTTAATTTTTAAAAAAATTCTGTGAGAAAGTCTTCAGCAAGCAATGCTGCTCTTTTCCTTACAGAGTATATATAGGCCCTTTGTATTTCATAACCATCCATCGTAAAACCTTCACAAACCCATAAAGTTGCCAACTGCAATATAGCATATAATCTACTTTATACAAATTGAATAAATGTAATGTTTCCAGAGCTAGTGAAAAATGCATAAAAATATAAAGTTGAAATGAGATAGCTATCCTAAGTGTTTTGCCTGACTCATTAGTTAAGTGACGCATTCCTCATCACGTCATAGGTCACTGTTTAAATGTATATTTTTTATGGCATACAACTGTGAAGTTTCTTGAAATCAGTCAAAATCTCAAGCATCAAACTGTGAATGCAAAATGTCTACCATACACAATGAACTATGACACCCACAAAAATTGTTAAATGTTTTTATTTTAACTGGTGTATTCTAAAACAGGCATATTACAGTTACACATTCACAAAATCTCTTTCTTTCTCTTCCTTTTTTTTATTATTTTTTATTTTTCGAGGTGAAGTCTCGCTCACTCTGTTGCCCAGGCTGGAGTACAGTGATGCGATCTCGGCTCATTGCAACCTCTGCCTCCAGGGTTCAAGCGATTCTCCTGCCTCAGACTCCTGAGTAGCTGGGACTACAGGCATGTGCCACCATGCCAGGCTGAATTTTTTCTTTCTTTCTTTCTTTTTTTTTTTTATTTTATTGGATTTTAGGTTTTGGGGTACATATGAAGGACATGC